TAAGTAAGTAAGTAAGTAAAGAAGGAAGGAAGGAAGGAAGGAAGGAAGGAGAAAAGTAACATAACGAATAAACAGATAACATTATCGATAAAAAAAATAGTGAACGTCAGTTGAATAGAATCGAAAATGCAGAAAAAGAAAAGATGACAGACAAACTAATAATTGGAAATAGTGAAGAGACAAAAAATACGATAGAATGTAATGGTATTATATCATATGACTACATAGAATTAAATGGATTAAGGATTATCATGGTAATTTTAAGGTTAGAATAAACTGGGTTTTATATCATTGAAAAAGGCTTTAATTTTCTAATGGCCAATTTCCCCAGCAACAACAACAATTATAAACCATCATAAAAGCAAAAATTAAAAAAATACTTTCTCCACATCACCCAATTAGAATCATTATAAATCCTCTTTACTCAGATGGTGGAGAAGATTTGTAGCTCAGGTGGATGATTTTGGTGGAGTTTTGTTCTTTGAGCTGGATGGTTTGGTTGTGGAGCTTTCATGTGGAAATCTTAGACAGAGGAAACTCCAAAAACACCAGAGAAATTTTAGAAGCCTGGCACTCAGGTCAATCAGCAATCAACAAGCATATTGAAATCAATCCAATTTATCAACCAATCAGAAAAATCATGCACAAACATAAGAACAAAAATCAAAACAATAGGAGACATAATCAAAACAAAGAAGTAAACGATGACAAATTTAAGGCCAATAAGAACCAATCATCATCGAGGTGCACAGAACAAGCTTTGAAACACACATGGAGAAATTCAAACACTTCACTTCTATTTGAAGTTTGTGCTGATGATGTCGTTCAGAAGAACGATGAAAGCTCCACGACCAAACCATCCATCTCGGAGAACAAAATTCCACCAAAACCTCTTTTCTCAGTTTGATTATTTTGTTGACAACATTTTTTAGGTAACAGGATCTATTCAATATATAAAATCTTCAAAGACAGTATCATGTTGTAAAGTATAGTAATCAATCAACATTGTCAAATATACCTTAATTATGGATTGAATTACAATGTTGAAATGGAATTGAAATGTGGACACCACTAGATATGAAGGTAGAAATGACGACTTAACAGAGTGCATATACATTCATTGTATAATCCGTAGATAAAATAACAAAATTTCAACAACGAAAAAGTGAATCATCACTATAGGGTTCTAGAGATTATTAAGTGTTTGATTGAGATCATGAACCGATTGATGTTAGACTACCATCGGAAACCTGGAAACATTAGAAGGCCGTTTCGTCCCATTATATCCTAGTATGAAACTCCTCAGAAGTGCACATCCACGATCCCGCTCGTGTGATTCGAACACAGCGCCTTCGGTCTCGCGTGCGAAAGCTTAACTTACTAAATCACTAAGCTGGTTGGCATCCAACTTTGTTTATATCTAACCTCAACCAATCCACAAAATTGCACGACCAACTTCTATTGTACTGAAGTAGATACCTCTCTCTATCCGACATGGATTAGCTACACTGGTAACGGCTTCTCAGTTGAACTCCGAGAATTCCCTCACAAAGCTAGTCACTAGTGAGCACATGGTAATTATCAGTATAGGGTTGTGAAGATTATTAAGTTGTTGATTGAGATCATGAACCGATTAATGTTAGACCGCCATGGAAAACCTGGAAGTGTTGGACGGCCGTTTCTTCCTATTGTGGGACTCCTCAGCAGTGCCCATCCACTCAGGACCTATCGTTCTCGCGCTCAAACGTCTAACCTCTAAACCACTGACACGACATCCAACAGTGTTAATGTCTCATGAATTCAACTATAAAATCACTAAAATCTTCACAAAACCCCTACTGATATGAAAGATGATTATTTAAAATTCAAGATTTTATGCAGGTTAGTGTAAAACACTAGTACGTTTCTGATTGCTTCAGCTGATCGCATATAAGTATTAATCCCGAAAATATCATTACAGACTTTTGTATTTAGATGAAATCTAAGTGATAAATGTTTGCTTTACTATGAAAGCTGGAAAGTCAGGATATTTTCGGAAACCGAAGATTTTTCCTGCGTACATTAAATTTTTAGGATAAATTAGCTTCTGATTTTTCGGTTTATCGCAATAACTTCTTATCAGTATAGATATATATACATCGGTGTAATCATTTATAATAATCAAGTGTTCACTCCTATGTTATATGCTTGAAGAGATTACGAGATCACCCAAATCGGAGAACGGAACGAAGGATCAGCGACATAATGACAAGGAAGCTAAACTAGTCAAATGAGTCCCAGCCTCATTAACTAGAGAGAGAAATCCGGGTTCGGGTAAACGAAAGTGTATTTCAGAGGTAGAGGAAAACACAAACAACACAACTCAAGTGTATATATGCAGCACAAAAATGTCCTTGAGAAACTTCACAAAATAGCATATTAAAAGGTAAAACGAACCAATTATTTTTAGGGTCTTTTCAAATGGGAAATACAACCTGAAAGAAAAATAGGCCAGAGGACAAGAAATTCAAATTTCTAATATAGAATTAGAAAAACAAGACACTTACCAAGTGAGTTCCAATGATCTAGCATCCCGAACAGTATGATATTCATTAAGTACACAAAATTATCATATAAGTAGTTTATGAATCATTATTACATTATGTTTTTGAGACCAACGAAAATGAAATTGACATTTTCGAACTGTTTTAATATTTAGAATAATTATGACATAGACTCTGTTTTGGCCTTCTGGTCAATGTTGAATAGGATTGAAATCGCCAAAATTTAATAATCCGATAAATTGTTGATAATGATTGACTTATATTGGCTCTATGACTAGTGTGTTTATAAAGCTGAGGGTCTCATATGAGATTGACGGTTCGCCATTCAAGTTGTGGATGGTTCGGCATTACTTTGGCACGTTTTTCTGACTGTTCATGCATAAAATGTGTTTGCTGGTTAACCGATTTCATTCATACTGGTGGTTGCTTTTCATTGTTCTCAATAACCATTGTCATTGGGACATTGTAAGGCATGTCGTCATTGTTAACATTAATGAGTTTGACTGTCGTGTAAACGGAATAAGTCAACATTGACCTGTTCGTGCTGTGCTTAATTGACTCACGAGATCATTGATCGGAATAACTATACATATGACGTGAATGTGCATATGAATGTTGCGAATGTTTCACCAGGGTGCTTGGTACTTGTGTGGTTGCGCCACAGGATTGAGGTGTACTATTCAGATTGTAACGTTAGAGCCTATACGGTGTCTGATTCTCATGTGAATCGGCATTCAGTTGTACTGCTCGGGTTATAAAATTTAAGCTTGGATGGTGCCTGGCTCTTATGTCAAACAGGATCGAGCTGTACTGTTCGAGTTATCACGTGAAAGTCTGGATGGTGTCAGGTTTTCCTGAAAACCAATGTAAAATTACCCTCGACCACAGGGATATATTACATAACTATATTATATAACTATGACAAGTGTGAGCTAAATGAGATAGCACTAAGTTGTTTACTGACCGGATCACACTTTCATTTAGGCACTCTGAGATGCATTTATGAGCACTATAATGTAAATTCCTAGAAATATAAGCAATATAACTTGCTCCACAATCTCAATTGGACTTATTAATACAAAACGGAGTGGTTACACCAGGCAATTCATCTTTTAGACTCGGCGTCCTAGTAGGATGCGTAGAATAAAGTGCAAACAACACTCGAAATTTATTAACATTAAATCCTAGTAGTAAAATTTAGATTAATTTATAAATTTCATTGAACTAATTATTCAAAATTTTAAATATTTTCAACAGTGCGCATCCACCATCCCGATTCAATCAATCCAGAAAGTTAAACAATAACACCGTTAGATATTGGCTGAGTGGTCTACATGTTAAGCGTTCGCGTGTAAGACCAAGAATCCTGGGTTCGATTTCTGCATGCGGGATCGTGAAAGCCCATTGCTGAGTAATCCTATACTAAGACGAAATGGCCATCCAAGGATTCCTGGTTTTCCGTGGTGGTCTAGCTTTGATCAACTCATGAATTTCACCATTAACTCTGCACAAAAGATCCTTTTTTGTTAATATATCCTATTTATATTTTCTTTATTTTCTTCAGTAAATTGTAAATCAAAAGATAAAACAAGAAAAAAGGGACACTAAAGTGAAATATCAGTTTGCTCTAGTTTTTTCCCTATTGTTCTAGTTTGAGATCTTATATCCTATTTTACATTCTCTTTAGTAATTTAATGATTGAATTCACTTGGTATTGTTTGGCTTGCATCTTCTCATTGAGGTTTAACACTGCCATTGATCAGTCTGTTATTAGCATTTGTGCATACTGTGCGTATGCCTCGATATTACCTTAATTAACAAGCTTTTTGTAAGCAATGATGAATAGTGGCTAACAGTGGAATCCAGTTTGACGCGCGTTTCGTCCTATGTACCTGCATCTCAGAGAGTTGATGTTCACTCTGAGACTTGAACCAAGTCCCATTCGCTTCAAACGCCATTGCGTTATTCCTTCAGTTACTGAGTCCTGATTATTATTATTATGATGATGATCATTTTTTGCGCGCGAGCACTTAACCATTAGACTACCAATCTGGTCGGTATATTCAACAATGTTAATGTTCAACATCAAACAATTCACAAATTATCTTCATTATCCATCAATCTTTTATTTAAATAAATTCCTATCTTATAACATGCTTAAAATCATTTTCTTACAAATAATAATAATATTTCAATAATTTTTAAACCAATCAAATTACAGGAATATTTCAACCAATAAAAAGTGAGTATTTCAATTTTCTTAATTTTTTTTTTGTTTTTTCCATTAACTTTAAATATATATACAAACTATTAGAAAACTTGCATAGTAACTAATTATTTATTTTTCTTTTAGTTTTTTTTTCCTTATGGATAATTCTTTTTTCAGTTCAAGAAAAAACAAAAACAAATTAATCAATATAAATTAATAAATATCTATATATACTACTTAATTAAGTAATGTGTGATACATCCATTGAATGTTATACAGGATTATATAAATATCTTAATGATTCAACTCAATTAAATAGTACAATACGTGAAGAATTATTACGTATTTATTGGGAAGAATTAAATGAATTAAAAATACAATCAGAAATACCAATTTTATTATTAATTATTATTATAATAATCTTTTTAATTATGATATTATTTGGTATATTTGGTAGTAGTTTAGTTATATTTATTATATTAAATAATCGTTCAATGCGTACACGAGGTAATTTATTTATATTAAATTTAGCTATATCTGATTTAACATTATGTTTAATAACACAACCATTTAATTTATTACGTTTATTAACTAATAATTATAATTGGATATTAGGACAATTTATGTGTAAATTTTCAGCTATGTTTCAAGGGACTAATATATTTGTATCAACATTTAGTATAACAGCTATTGCAATTGATAGATTTCAAGTAAGTTGTTGTTTGTTTTTCTTTATAGATTTATGTATATCTATATGGGGTTTTCATTTGCTTTTTTGTATTGATTGTTTGAATCTTTCTATTGATTTGGTACTGTTTAACTTATAACTTCCCATTGAGGTTTAAGACTGTAATTGATCAGTTTATTATTGGCATATGTTAGTGAATGGTACTAGGTTCGAGTTCTAGAGTGAACATCAACTCTCTGAGATGCAGGTACATCCAGCTGACGAGTCGTAAATAGGAAGAAACGCGCGTCAAACTGGATTCCACTGCTAGCCACTATTCATCATTGCTTTCCATTGATGTTTAACATTTAAATTGATCAATCATTTATTGGTATATATGTATACTGTGCGTATTGTAACGATATAGTCATATACACAGTAAATACATATCTCAATAAGAGATTGATCAATTACATTGTTAAACATCAATTCGAAGATTCAAGTAAACAATACAAAGTGAATTTGTATAACATTAATTCAAGATAATAACAGAAAAAATACCAAGGGTAATAATTTACCTTTGAATGATATAACGAACATTTAGAGTTATGTAATGAAGCTAGTTAAGCAGCTAGAAAGTGACTTTTTAGTCCTACTGCGAGAAGGATAAATAATTCTCCTTTAAATTCTTTCTACGGTGATTGTGGACAATGGTACTTTTGAAAATTTTCCAATCTTTTATATATATATAAGAAATAAGGTTTTGTGGAGATTGTAGTAACTTAATTGTTGAATTCGTCAGTTGATTAAAGCGAAACCGTTATTGAGATCCTGAAAGCACTGAACGGCCGTTTTTTCCTAGTTTGGGGCTCTTAGATAGTGTTTATTCAAAATCACACACGCAGGACTCGAACCCAGGGCCTCCGATCTCGAGGGTGATTGTTTAACCCTTGTAATGAAGCGAGTTAAATAGCTAGAAAGTGACTTTTTAGTCCTACTCCAAGAAGGATAAATAATTCTTCCTTAAATTCTTTCTAGGCTGATTGTAGACAATGGTCTTTTTTTCTGATCGACTAGTTTCATTACGTAACAACGAATGTCAATTTTTGTAATCAAACTAAATGTGGATATGAAACAGTAATGAATCGAGATTTAAATATATATGTAGCTATAAAATCGTGTTTTAAATTTAATTAACATATTGCAAATAAGAAGAATGTATATTTAGTTGGTCCTAGTAAAAGAATATGAAATGAGCAGTGTTATATCCCTATGAGAATAATGGATGGTAACTGTTGTAATCTATTTATGGTCTAATACTATACGTATATTTTTATCGTATAATGGTTAAATAACTAAAATATCCATATTCATGTTTTTCTTATCATAAACTTTATTTTGATCTATGAACTATTATTATACGATTCACCATTCTTCAGTTATGCTCGGTCTATCAATTAATATACCACACATTCACAACCGCATTTGGCTAAATCAAGTACAAATGTTCTTCCATATTTTATTGGTACCATGTGGTCTGTCTGGTTTGTACATAAACCCAGTACGTTTGAAATAAAGGATTGATATTGCAGAGGCTGAGAATGGTGTTGTGGACTTAGCAGGCAGGGCTAGTCAGGAAACAAGACCGATAAGGACTCTAGACTGCTGGTACAGGTTTTATGCGTCATTAGCCCAATTGATAATTCACTGTTCTCTAATTGGCGGTATCAATACGTTATACATTAATAGGGCACAAGGCCCACAAGCAGTTCGTCCAATTCATGCTTGATTGCAGTATTCATAATATTATCCACTTAGATAATAATACAAAATACTATTAACTTGTTCACTGAACAATAATGTAATCAATAGTTGTATATTCTTATTTAGAGTATTGAATACTATCACTTACAATCAATTAACACTTTCTATTACAGAAGTGATTATTCTTCTTTTATCCTACCGGTCTTTAATGAATCCCGATATAATCAACGAAATATTTGTCTCCTTAACGATTGTAATTATATTTTATTAACTAACTGTTAGCTGCTATCCATTTTTGCTTTGAATACTTGTAAATTAAGGCAATATCTAGGGAATACTCACAGTATACACAAATGCCAATAAGAGACTGATCAATTGCATTGCTAAATATTAATAGGAAGTTTCAAGTAAAACAATATCAAGTAAATTTAAACTTCATCTCATTGAACAAGCAAATGACTCAGGACTCAGTAGCTATGTGCATAATGTGATGACGTTTGAAATGAACGATACTAAGTTCAAGTTCCAGAGTGAACATCAACTGTGAAACGCAAGTACATCCAGCTGACAAGTCCCAAATAGGGCAAACCGCGCATGCTGGATTCCACTGACAGCCATTATCCATCTTTGCGTATACACAATTCACTTTTTTGTATTGATTGTTTAAATCTTCATATTGATGTTTAAGATTGCAATTGATTAGTCGTTCTTTTTTATTAATATATGGGTATCTTGTGAAGATTGTCTCAATATTGTTTTAAATCTTAAGCAATATAAGCAGAGATAGATGATGGTTAATAGTAGAATCCAGGACGCGTATTTCTTCTCATTTTCGACTTGTTATCTAGATTTGCTTGTATCTCAGAGTTGGTTTTCACTATGGGACTCGAACAGAATGATTATTGATTGAATTGTTTAGACCCGTTTGTAGACAATGCTGAAATATAGCAAAAGGAAATAAATAATATATAAAATACAAATAGCCCATTTATGAATGCAAGCAATACGTGCTTCGCAATCATTTTAGAATCAAACGAATCTATCTTATTTCATTGTATTGCATTCTGGTACCTAAATGATTTATATTTCTCTTCCCACACAGCGTCTAACTTCAACAGATGAACGCTTGAAAACTCCAAGTTGGAAGTTAGAAAACAAAAGACTAGTGAAAATGTCTCATATTCCAAACAGTGTCAAGTGTCGTACAAAACATTCAGGTTTTTATAATTTATAATAAAAAAACAAAATAATTAATAAAGTCATCCAATCTGCATGCCATGATATTTACTATACATCCAATCAGGAAACTAAACATCAAGATTTTAGAATATTCTTCCAAGAAAGTGATTGGATGGAATATCTACGTCTCAGCCTGAGTTTCTTAAATTTTCCTTGAGTTCATCAAAGACAGTCCCTACAACTTTAAGCTAGAAAAATATTTCTAAATTTAAAGTGGTCAATAAATAACAATACACTATTTAAGTAGTAATGATGTTTACAGTTAAGATTTTAACAAACATCTTAAATCAGAAGGGGTTTTGTGGCGATTGTAGTAATTTCAACAGTTGAGATCATGAGTCTATTGAAACTAGACTACCATGGAAAACCTGGAAGTACTGGACGGCCGTTTCGTCCTATTGTGAGACGCTTCAGATCCCACCTCACGGAATTCGAACCCAGAACTTATCAGTCCCGCGCGAGAGCGCTTAACCGCTAGACCACTTATCTGGTCAAGCTTCAACGGAGTTAATGTCTAACTTCAACTAGTCCACAAGACTGAGCCACTGTTCACCATTGCCTTCAATGAGTTACTACCTCACAACAGACATGGTTGAACTCCACTGGTCACTGCTTCTCACTAGAACTCCAGAATATGTGACTTGAAACCAGTCACTAGTGAGCATATGTTGATTATTATCAGAAGGGTCCAGGGTTCGAATTCCATGAGGCGGGGTCGTGGATGCGCACTGCTGAGGAGTCCCACAATAGGACGAAACGGCCGTCCAGTGCTTTAAGATTTTCCATGGTGGTCTAGCTTCAATTGACTCATGATCTCAACTGTCAACATATCTTATAGTTGATATCTGTTATTTAATAATTCATTACATTATGTTCTCTATGATTTAAATATAATCAATTACATTTTTGCCGAAAATAACTCCTCTACAATGATTGCTCGTCTATAATTTATGAAAGTTTTGTCTTCTAATCTAATTGTTATTCTTTGATAGAAAAACATCCAATTTTTATTCCAAATTGAATTATTCGTTTATATCTGTAGAGGAGTAGAGTATAACTTAATGATGGGAAAAATTTGTACTTCTAGTGAATGATTTTGATGGAGATTCGTTCTCTGAGTTGTAGTTACATAACAGATTGATCTAGTTTAAATAACTAGTGGAAAAAAAGAAGCATTTACTACTCTACCTAAGATCGAAACCAGGATCTTAAAGCATAGAGACCGATGCTTAACTATTAAATCACATAATTCATAATTAAAAACCGTTTAAGTAATCAAGTCAAAATGACTAATGGGATAAGAACATGAATAAAATGAACTAAATGTATATAAAATTCCACAGATTGAAATCATGAGTCAATTGAATCTAGACCACCATGGAAAACCTGGAAGCACTGGACGGCGCGAAACAGATAGGTCCTGGGTTCGAACCCCGTAGGGTGCGGGATCGTGGGTGCGCACTGCTAAGGAGCCCCATAATGGGACGAAACGGTCGTCCAGTGCTTCCAGGTTTTCAATGGTGGTCTAGCTTCAATTGACTCATGATTTCAACCTGTGAAATTTCCTAAAATCTCCACAAACCGCTTCTGGTTTTTAAAATTCACCATAAGACTTAATATGTTGTGATACATATGTTGTGTTATGTTATGCTATTTGCGTCATCTACCTACTTTAGTTAAACAACTATTTGATATCAAGAGGTATTAGACACCATTATGCTTTTATAACCTTTTTAAGGCCCTCAAATATCTGATTCCAAGTAGATCGTATGAAAGATTGTTATCAAAATATACATGTCTCCATTCCTCGTATATAATCATCAACTTAAATCATATGATTTTGAGATGGTGGAGGACATTTGTAGCTCAAGTGGATGATTTTGATGGAGATTTGTTCTCTGAGCTGGATGGTCCGGTCGTGGAGCTTTTATCGTTCTTCTGAACAGCAGCATCAGTACAAAATTTAGATAGAAGTGAAGTTTTCGAATTTCTCCACATGTGGTTCTAAGCTTGTCCTGTAAATCGCTATGTTGATCGGTT